CTCACAGGAAGGTAAGGGCCGGTTGCCAGGGGAACCAGCAAAGTGAGGGTAGGAACGTAGTCCCACCCTCGACTTTCAGGGAAGGGAGCGGGCTTGGAGATTGAATCAGTCACCAATGACCAGTGATTTAGTTAGTCATACCAATGTAATGAAGACTGCCCCCAAATCCAAAAGAAGAGGGGGCAGAGAGCTCCTGGATTGACGAACATGCGGAGATTCGGAGACAGTGGCGCACGTGGTGAGAGCATGAAAGGTTCAGAGCCCTCTCCTGTACCTTGCCTTCTGCCTCTCTTCCACCGGCCTGTTCCTACGCTATGTTCCTTTATAATAACGTGGTGTTCTAGTAAGTAAAATGTTTTCTTAGTTCTGTGAGCTAGTCTAGCAATCTAATTGAACTCAAGGAAGGCATATAATCTCTGATTTATAGCCAGTTTGGTCAGAAGTACAGGTAATAACCTGGACTTGTGACTGGTGAATGGGGGGCAATCTGGTAGGGCTGAACCCTCAACCCATGCTAGCCAAAGCTATCTGTGGGTAGACAGTGTCAGAACTGAGCTGAATTATAGGATGCCCAGCTGGTATCCTGAGAATTGCTTGTTGGTCTGGGCTCTCCCCTGCTCCCCAGCTCCCACAGAGGAACTGAGTGCAGAGCACCTTTTTTAAGTGAGAAGGGTTTTAGAATTCTCTCAAGAGAGCTTGACATGTCACCTAAGGATTTGGAGGACCTGGTGAGTGGTGCCCAGTTTCTAGCCTAGAAATATCTGAAGGTTAGAGGCATTCTGGAGCTTTATATGGTAGCAGAGCCTGAAGAGGAGCAGCTTGTGCTTCCGGGATTTAGAGGGAACCAAACATGCTGTTTCCCATGGGCAAGAATGGACACTGGAAAGATTAGGATGGACTGATTTCAAAGGACTCTGCCCAAGAAGTATGAGTGCAAGGGTAAGATGACCTAAATAATCAAGATACATAATCTGCTCTTAGCAATAATGCAGTCCTCTAAGGGGGCCTTTGAGGAACCTACAAAAATTCCCTATGACCAACATTTAGGCATCAACACCCAGAGGGCCTTGACAGAAATTATGAGGTCAGCAGTCAAATAAGATGCTTCTTCCCACCCTCTCCCCCTTAACTTTCCTCCAGTCTTCAATCCTAACAAGGAAAGAAGCTGCATAGTGAACCCAGGAGGAAAAGAGGAGTTGTTAAGGTGGAGGAATAGTAAACAGCTGACCCTGCCTACAATTCCTCTAGAATTCCATGGTGGGCTTACCTTTATAGCCCCCACAGCACACACCTCAAAAACACTCCTTTTCTGGCAAACTGTTTGTTGAATAGTACCTCCAGCTTCCTGTGAAAAGAAGCATTTCAACTCTCTTTCCCAACTTGAGCCATGCTCAAAATTCTAAGAAGTATACTAATTAGTCATAGAATAGTGGCAAAAAAGTAAACAAACCCTCTGTCTTAAAGATCCTTACTCTCAAGGCCTTATTTTCTTTATTATTATCTTTTAACGTTACCTCACTTGATTTCAGTCTCCTCCTGGCAAAGAGTCAGACAGGACTGAACGAGGAACACTTTCACTTTTTGACTGTTTAGAAAATGATCCTTCTGAAATAGCCTGAGCCTCCCTACTTAAAGCAATCTAAACATCATGGTATAGAAAGAGATTTAATTAACAGAAGAAACAGTGTCATAAGCCTGACATAAGCCAACTGAACACTGGAAACTCGAAATCATGCAACTCCGAGAAAGGCCCTACAGGTTCAGAAAGTTTTCTTTTCTGCCCTAAGCTCCCCTTCTCTTCCCCAGACTGGTGACTCAGAATCCTCAGCTATGTGCTTGGCTTACACAACAAGGAGAGAAACTTCCTGCATACACTTGACCCTCTGGGAGAAGCCTTTTTGTAAGTTTCTTATCAGCCTGCTCATCGTGCAGCTGGGGGTGGGACTTATGGGGAACATAGGAAAATGTTTACCACCACCAGGAGAAGAAAGGAACCCAAATCCGATATCTTTCCTCTGAGCTTCTTCCCTGGGGGAAAATGTTCCTTCATCTAGATTAAAGACCACAGGGAACAAAGAAAGTCACAAAGATATTAACTTAATTTCCAGTGCCACTTTTCCATAAAACAAGTAACTGGTAGCTAAATTGTCTCATTCTTGCTGCTAATAAACAGTGAAGGTGCCAAAACACCAAAGCGGCAGAAGAAACATGGAAGAAACTAAGGGTTTAGATCATTTATGAAAATGGGTATTCAGTCTTTGAATAATTAAGGATATCCAACTTGTAGGATATTAAAGAAATCCCTAATCTACATTTATGTTAGAGTATGTCATTACTAACCCAGGTCATTAAAGTTTTAACATGGTATCTATGAGCAACTCTACTGAAGAATTTCACTTATTGGCTGGATTATATATCAAAATAAGGGAAATGCTGAATTATAGAATACTATACATTGACTATTTAATAAATTAATCCCCATGTTGACAGTAGGAGTTCCAGAAGTAATGTCTGCTGCATGATAGGACTTAATCAATACTTGTTAATAATGTCTTGAGAGCAGGTCAATGCCTGATATGTTTGCAATCCAAATTAGAAGCACTGAAGAATCATATTCAAGGTTATATTCCTCTAAAAAGACTGTTGGTTGTTATGAATAGCTAAAGGAAATGGAGGAAGATTGAAGCTTTCATTAGCATTACTCCTTTAAATATGAACTTATTCAAATAAAATTTTGGCCCTGATTTCTAGGTCATACTATTTTCCTTTTATATTTTTCACGTAACTGAATTGTGCCAAATTGTTGTAAGGGCTCGGCAGTAGTTTTTTACTCTAAAATCCATACCACTTCTCAGACGAGGAAGAAGAAGAAGAGGAAACAGGGAGAGGGAAGGTGGGAAGAGAAAAAGAAGAGGGAAGAAGGAAAGAAAATAAGGAGTGGTGATGGAAGAGGAAGGGATAGGGGTGAAAATGCGGGGAAAAGGAAACAAAGGAGAGAAGGGAGAGAGAACAGGAGATACAAAGGGGACAGCGGGAGCAGGGAGGACCAGACACTTCTCATTCATTTTGATCCTAAATTTTTTATACAAAATATTTGAAAGAGAGCCCCTAGATATGTATATGGTGGGTGATGGGAGGTCCTCATTTCTGGAGAACTAAAAAAAATTCTATGCAATACTTAATTAGGACATAAATACCTGTTTCAAACTTTTAAGCATTATACAATTTCAGTACAAGTTTTTTAATAGATTTAAACTAGATTCATCATGAAGATAGTACAAATTAACGTTCTTATGTAATTAAAATTTTTTTTCTCTCAAACAACTGCATGACACTTGGTAGAAGAATTTTAATGCTAGGAGAGGATAAGTTGATGGTGACTTTGGAAGGTCCTGAGCGGGGGCTTTTCCAAGAACTGAGCAGACTATTAAGACAGAGGTAAGGAGGTTAACCTCTGTGGTTATTTACATCTGGCTGGATTACATCTGTTTTAGGTTTGCTGTCCTAGTCGGGTCTCCTTGGCAACTTCTTTATGGATCTGATAAAACTAATAAAGAAATATACTGCAGTAGGCTCAGATGAAGGGATTCCCACTTCCCAAGTTGGTCTGCCTGTACTTATCTTACAGAGAAGTACTGATTCAGCCACCTGAGCTGTAATTTTCTCACTCCAAGGATATTATGTTGAAAAGAGATTACTATAATAGAAGGCCTTGCATTAAGCCCTAGATGTCATTGGTTTGATGAAGACTGAGGAAAACAGGACTAACTCAAGTATGCTGAAGATCAGTGATTTCATAGTTATAAAAAATAAAGCTTATTACTGATCTTGAAAAGATTCCATATGAATACAAAACCATCATTATCATTGGTAACTATATAAAAATATCTGCCAACATTTTTCTGACTCAGGCTATTAAATTTCATATTAAAATATGACAAAAAGATACTTATTAAATAGACCTTATAGACAAAGCTTGAAAAATAGTGATAATATTAGTGTAGTATGACAATAGTATTTTGGAGCAACAGCAATGTGCTATGCTTTGATTGGACACAATTGAGCTTAGCATGGATCTTGTTTACACTTCTAATTTTCATTCCTTCACGAAGTAAAGGGCTAAAATAGCAATCGGTGCTCTACTAATTCTGGGCAGGTGACAGTGGGCTATTTATTTGGTTCTAAAAAACATGGTTTACCTGTGACTGTCAGTAAAATATGGGCCTAAACATACCACAGGTGCCCACACTGGGCACTGCAGGCCGCAGAAAAGCACTTAGTAGTTGTGTGTATCAAATTTGTGAAATCTAATCCAGAAGAACACTATTAGGCATACCATAATAAATCATTTGCGAACTAGAGAATATATTTGTAATGTGAAATATCTCTTGTGTTTTTAAGCTTGTGTAATGTGGTCTTCTTACAGTAAGAAACTTCTGGAATTTATTGAAACCTAAGGCTCTTAGAAAAGTTGTATGGAAAAGACATACTTTATGGTTTGAGGGGTGTTCTCTAGCTCCCTTTTAGTCAAATTTATGTAAGTTGTAAGCAGAAGGTGTGGTGGCAACAGATAACGAATGGTAAAGAGAAACTTCCCCAAAGACAGCCAGAACAGACCGGCTCGGGCTCAGGTCCACTTAGACTTGAACTGAAGCAGCGCTCGCGCTTGACTCCGTGCACTCGAAGGGTTAGGCTGTTAGGAGGGTGGAACTACATATCCCAGGATGCAGTTGTCCCTCCCAAGCTGTAGGTAGCCTGCTCCCTTCTCTCACTGCACTCTGGGGAGTGTAGTTTATCCCTAATCAGTAATTGCGTACACTGTCTAGGAAACCAGGGCTGTTAAGTTTGAGGGATCGGCCTCTCTATTGGCCCCGCCCTTCCATTGACCCCGCCCCAAGTTGCTTAGGAGATGAGAGACGCCGAATCTTGGTTTGTGTCAACACAGGGAGCAGGATAGATAAGGAGAGAAACCCTTCGAGGTCTGTGTCAGGAGGGCTGCCATGGACAGCTCCGACAGTTCCTGCCAGGAACGGTGCAGCCATGGACAATACTGGTTGGAACTCGGACCCACGGACTTAATGGAGCGCAAGGGCTCCCTAACCCTCCGCTCCCATCACAAGAAATACTCGAAGCCAGTATTGGTGTATTCCTGGTGAGCGAGCTCTCTTTGGGTTCCTAGGTGCTGGGAGATGGAGAAGAAGGGAAGGGATGGGGGACTGGAGAGGAAAGGTAAGAGAGGATGATGGTGAAGAGCATGAAATAAATAGGAAAGAATAAGAAAAGAGGAAAAGAAGAGTAGGTAAAAAAAGAAAAACAGCATTCGAGAGAGAAATCAGAAGAGAGAAAAGAAAGGGAAACAGATCTTCAAAGGAGAAATGGAGAGTGTAGGATTGAGAGTTTGGGCAGGGCAGATGAGATAGAAGAGGGTCCTCCAAGAGCAGCTCCCTAGTACACACGGAGACCAGCTGCCACCAGACCCTGTCTGCCAGAGGTCTTAGATCACCCACACAGAGAGTGGAGGTGGAGGGTATCTACAGAGGCCAGGAAGTCATGGCAGAGTCTGTTAGGAGACCAAGGCACAGGAGGAGGAGGTGTCTGTTCAGAGGATGGCCTCCAGGACTGCCATTTCTTGGGGGCAGTGAAACACAATCAGTGATTTGAAAGAAGTCCCTAAAATATGCCCTGTGTCCCCGACTGGGTAAACCAGCAAACACAGTTTATTTGACATATTTGACGTGCACTGTGTTTACATTTTTCTTTTAAATTAATTGACCACATTTAAAACCAGGACATTTCACATGGAAATAGAGGATTGTGTCTTCTTTTGAAAAGCTGAAAGCCTTGGCAGCAAAGAATTTTATTCTTTCTGGCAACTATGAATGTACTGGGGAGTTGAACACTGGCTACTCTTTAAGATAAGTCTACTCCTTTCTCTGGTAATTTTGACTTCCTGCCTGACCTCAGGAAACTTTTACTTCCCTGCATTATGTTTTGGGCTTGGAATTCACTAAGAGATTCTGCTGTTTATTAAATATGACAGTGTCCAGTAGCAAAAACATGACACATATAATTGGGAGAAAAAATGAGGCCTTTTAGAGCATTTAGAATTCTGTCCTTTGGGTCAATTTTCCTGGCTGTATTGTTGAGAATTATTGTTTTTGGATTATTTGGAATATTCTGGGGAAGAGGAAGATCTGAAATGAAATTTCATATCTTGTTCTCTTTATACTTTCACCTTTGAAAGAAAATAATTTTGACTCTAGCCCAAGGCTAAACGCTCCTTGATCCGTTCATTCATGTAATGTATGTGAATCCTGTTGTTTCTGCCTTGCAAATTTTCTATAGCCTACTCCCTTTCCCATGAACTCTCCTCCTTACTTTTACTTCTTATCCCTAAAACCAACTCTTTGCCTACTTTGAACTGACTATGACAGGTTATGTTAATTTGAAATCAAAACCTACACTGAGAAGCAGAAAAATCCTCTTTAACCTCATAGAGGGGTTATCCCACAGGCCTCAAGCAAAACACTTAACTCTTCCATGATTTTGTTACTCCATAAGGATTTAGGTCATAATGTAAATCACTGCCAGAAATTGTTGTTAAAGGAAAAGACATTTTTCAAGTGGACAGTGCTTCTGCTCCCTTCTGTACTTCTTTTGCTTTGAAGACTTTCCTTGTGGTCATCACAGACATCAGTAGCAAAACACAGAAGAATATGTATGAGAAAGAGGACGAGGATCTTGGTGGGAGAAAAGGGTGATGTAACATTGAAAGTCATTCTGACCACTGCTCGAGCTGTAGAGAGTTCTCATGTTGGTTTTAGAAAGAAGGTTTGGGAGCAGGAAGAAATCAGTTCAACCTAACAAATATTTTTGTGTCATGGACTTTGCTGTGTGTTGGAGATACAGAGATGGATTAAAGTGGTTCAATGAGATAATTTATATAAAGCATTTAATACTATGCCTGTGCATATTAAGGAGTCAATCATACATTGTAACATATTTATTTAGCATAATATAATGATTAAAAGCTTGGATTTTAGGTTTCAATACCAGTTCTGCAGCTTGTGATATGGTAAGTGACATGACTGTTCTAGGCCTCTGTTTCTGCAACTGTAAAATGGGGTTGATAGTGTTATTATAAGATTAAACAAGGTATTATATGTGAAGCATCTTTTGACAGATAGCCTAGCACATGGTAAACACAGCAAAGATTATATACATGTATTAGGACATGATCACTGACCTCAGTGAATTTCATTGGCCAATAAAGTAGAATGTCAGTAAATTCAGTATAATTTGATTTGTGCAAAATAGAGATGAGTGTAAGAGGCAAATGTAATAGGAGGGGGTGGTTAGTGTGCATATGGTTTTCTGAGCAAGGTTTAGAAGGAAGAATAGGGGTTCTATAGGTACACAAAAGAGAATAGACAAGAGCAATGTAATAGTAAGCAGTGTCAGAGGGAAATAGAAGAGGTTCTCTATAGTTGGTAAATATAGTTGGTCTCATTACTTGTAGATTCTGTATTTGCAAATTCCTTTACTTGCAAAAATTTATATGTAACCCCAGTCATTACTTGCAGTGCTTTCATGGTCATTTATGGACATGTGCTGAGAGGCAAAAAATTTGAATCATCCCACACACATAGTCTCAGTTGATGCCAGGCACTCTGCCTTCTTGTTTTAGCTCCTCTTCCTATAAACAAGTATTCTTTTCACCGTCTACTTAGTGCCATGTTTTTGCATTTGTGTACTTTTTGTTGGTGATATCATTGTTCAGGTGGCCCCCAAACATAGTGCTGAAGTGCTGTCTAGTGTAAGAAGACTGTGATGTGCCTCATGAAGAAAGTATGTGTGTTACATAAACTTCATTCAGCCTTGAGTTACAATGCTATTGGCTGTAATTTCAATGTTAGTCAACAATATATATTAAACAAGATGTGTTTAAACAGGGACACACATAAAACTGGGTCACATATTGATTAGTTGATGAAAATGTGACCTGAGGCTGATAGGAACCTAATCCTGTATTTCCCCTAGGAACAATGATTCAGTATTTTCTAATTGTTTGTGACTTTCTAAAACATAACAGCCTCAAATAATGAGAATCAACTGTCAAATCTGAGAAACACTTGGATTTCTCTGAGCTGACTGTGCTGCTGGCATCCTTGTTTTCCTTCCATATCCATTCACCAAGATCTGTCCTAAAAAAAACTATATATAAAGTTCAAATTGTATAAATTTCTAGATGAATAAATGTCATTGACCATTTTGTTTTTATGTATTCTGGTCACCACTGTTTGCTTTCTTTTGACTTATTTTGTTGTATACTAAAGCTTTTATTGAATTTTAAAAAAACTTTTATTGAATTTTAACCTTATGTTAGTGATTATTTAATTGATGAACACCTACTATCTAAAATACACCATTTGAGGTATGTCAATAGTGGTTCAGTGGTTAAGACTCCATGTTTCCACAACAGGGGCCACAGGTTTAATCCCTGCTCAGGAAATTAAGATTCTGCATGTTTCATGGTGTTGCATAAAATAAAATATAAAATAAAATAATCATTTGGTGGCCTCTCAATTGAGTATTTGATCAACTAAGGAAATGTGCCTATAGGTTTGCAAAATAGAATCTAACTGGGAGAAATTCTGAAGTACCTCTCAATAAACATTTAAGTGATTCCTGTGTTCCTCTTTATGCAGAATGTAATGCAAGTCTGTTTGACTTCACTACACATTAAAAACAGTTGTGTATAATAGACATGATAAACTGAAATACCCAGAATGGTTGCTAAAAGTGTTTCTGGTCCATTATTGGCCCACTACTATAAGAAATTGTATAGGAGCCTTGTCTTCTTGCAGTTGGAGTGGTGAATAGAGAGGCATATCACTTGCATTACACCTTGATGCTTCTGAATGAAAAAGATTTTTTTCTAGAAATTATCTTTCTCTATTCATTCCTGTAGCATTTATGGAGCTATATCATCAGATATTTCCATTGGAAATTATGAGTTGAGGGGAAGTTTTCTCTTGGGACATCTTCCCACTCATCGGAATAATTGAATACTAAGAACCAGGACAACTAGATTTGCCCTTAATTAATTCTCTAGTTTGAGGCTAGTTCTTATTTATTTATTATACATATCTGTATCTCTTTTTCCTTGGCCAAATTGACATCTGGTAGTAAGTTATGGGAGAAGGCAATGGCAACCCACTCCAGTACTCTTGCCTGGAGAATCCCATGGCCAGAGGAGCCTGTTGGGCTACAGTTCATGGGGTCTCCAAGAGTTGGTTGTGACTGAGCAACTTCACTTTCACTTTTCACTTTCATGCATTGGAGAAGGAAATGGCAACCCACTCCAGTATTCTTGCCTGGAGAATCCCAGGGATGGAGGAGCCTGGTGAGCTGCTATAGGGTCACACAGAGTCGGACACGACTGACGTGATTTCGCAGCATCAGCAGTAAGTGATGAGCCAAAAAAATTTACTCAAGTTTCCATGGAGACAGTTCATGCTCTGGTCTCCATGGTGATACGTAAAGAGTTTTAAGGACTCACTAAGGTTAATTTTATATACTTGTAATTTCAATTACTTCTCTCTCCTGCCTGAGCCCTAAATTAAAGAGCTTGGGTATTTTACTTGTCTCCCCTGCCATCCCCATTATAGGAAGAAAACAGAAAGAGAAAGGGGAAAAAGGAAGAAAAATTAAAATGTGGTGATAATTGTAGGGTAGGGAACTTGATAGTTTTAAAAATTTTTACAGAAAACCATTTGGGTGGGGGAAAGAAATTAAAGAACTTTCTATGATGCTCTTCAGACTTATATTCTATTGTGCTATTTGAACATGAAGTTCATATGTATTCAAGGTATTTCATATTCAGAGGAGAATCCAGTTTCAAGGCACTAGGATATCATTAGTATGCTTATTAGAAAATAGAGATGAATTTTCTAATGTGCTGTATGTTCTTCCTATATTTAATCAGCAGTTTTCTCGTGGACTAACCTGGAAGTCTTTAGAGTCCTTCACACCACTAAGGACCAAGCTAGAGTTACACAGATCTTCTCTATCCATCAATCCCATCTTCTCACATCTCCAACACACACTCAGGATAAAAAGGCAAAGAAAATAAAGAAAGCTGTTTAGTAA